ATAGAACTGATTGATTTTTGAGGTACGAAAAATTTTTCATGAATACGACAGTAACTTTCAAATGGGTAGTCTTGATGAAGCCTATTTGGATATCACGGAATATGTTTCAAAGCGCAGTCAGCGCGGTATGTGTAGCTTTGTTTTGATTATCCGTTTTATTTTTATTTCATCATATCGTTTTTTGGTGTTTATTTGTTCCCATTAAGTACAGTGTTTGATGTATTTATTCTGGTTGACTGCAGTTCGGCTCCCACGAGTACGTTACAGCGGTGATTGCCTTTGCCGTTTGCCACGTGTGCTCGATTCTGACAAAGACCAGTTAGACTCGGCAACAACCTCGGAAGCGTTCTGTGAGAAATGTGGTAGAAAGCGCATACGTGTCGATGATTTCGTTTGTTTCGGCACTGAAGTTGATCAGGTATTCTTATTTCATTATCGTTAATACAGTTGTTATCATCTTTACAATGATAAGTGTGGTAGTATTGATTTACAGTGCTCTTAGCGTTGTGACTAGTTCAAGTCGTCAACTTGATGACAAAGCCATAATGCGGTGTAAATGTTTGTAGATTGTAAGCGAAATGCGTTTCCGAGTGGAACAACTGACTGGTTTAACGTGTAGTGCAGGTATTGTTGATTCGATTCGTACATGAGCCATTTATAGAAATAAACGTTCTTATATTTGTTTTCATGTTGCTTTCGAACGTTTTTATATTCTAATCGTTGAGGATACAACTCAAAAATGATTCAAAACCATCATCATCAGTTCAATTTTCGTCCTTGAGGTATTGCGCCGAATTCCATGATTGCAAAAGTTTGCTCTGATTTCAATAAACCAAATGGACAATTTCGAATTGAGAACGATAGGCAGTCGGTCATGGAGTTTATGCAAGAGTTACCGTTGAGAAAGGTATCCATTTGATATTTTCATTTATCGGTTTCGTATTTTCGTTCGAAAACGCACTCAGTTTATATTAAATCGTTACTTGTTGACAGTGAAATTGAATCCATCCTATCGTAAAATGATTTCAGGTAAGTGGGATTGGCGCTGTGACAGAAGCAATCCTAAAGGGAATCGGAATCGAAAAATGTGGTGAATTGTATGAAAAGCGAGCCGTGCTAAGTCTGCTGTTTACACGCTGTTCTCTAGAGCATTTCTTGCGTATTGCATTGGGTATTTCAGTCTCGTATACAGCACAGAACACATCTTCAAAACGGAAGAGTATCAGTGTCGAAAGAACGTTTCATCCAACGGCTGATCTGCACCTCCTTATCAAGGTGTCGGCGTTAATCTGTGCTAGACTAGTTCTCGTTCGCGTTAATCTGTTCTAGACTCATTCTGATTGCTGATTCATTTCACTTTCCTATCTAATAGCAGATGGATTGATCTGATTGTTGGTGATAATCTGCTTCATTTAGATTCTTGAAGATTTATGTAATGATTTGATCGATTCTTTATTGGAACATCACATTCGAGGTGGTTATTCAGCCACGGTTAAATGCAAGTTTTCAACTTTTGATGTCATCACCAGATGCGTCAGGTGAATACTGCTAATTTTCACGTATTTCTTCTTTTTATAAGTTGGAATGAATCAATTTATTGTCGTTGCGTTGATTGAGACATCAATTTTTGCAAATATTCATTATATAAAGTTTGTTACGAGGTTTTATGAGATCAGTATCTTGTTTTCTTTTGATGCGTTCCTTTTAGAGTAACGCACTTATTTATTACATTGTTGCAGTGTTGATTATTTGCTGAATGAAAAGAACGCTCTCTTCAAAATATGCGAAAAAATTGTTCGAAATGAGATCAAGCAACATAACCATCTGCACATTAGACTGCTCGGAGTCAGATTGTCACGTTTGATTTTTGTCGACGATAAGGTTGAATATTTGTTTATTTTGCACTTAACTAAGTGCTGATGTCTTCCTGGGATATTTTTGTGCATAAAAACCTTTTGTCAATGTGCATGTGAAAAGACAGGTGTTGTGTTTCTAGTTGCTTTAATTGATATCAAATCAGTCCGAATTATTGACATTAAAATAAGCAGAGCAACACTCAGTGATTTTTTGGTGTACTTTCGCGTTTGAGTGTAGATTATTATCTTATTATGTATTATTTAAGCGGAGAACATTCGACAGTAATCTGAGTGTTATCTTTCCGTGCACCTTATCAAACATTATTAGGTCAAATGACATTGCTTGGCTCAGTCAAAATGTTGATTTACGGAAGAGTGATTAACAGTTAAAGTTGCATTAATATTTATGCACTGAATGAAATAACTATCTACAGGTCGATAAAGTGAAGTCGTTAACGTCATTTTGGTCAACGAGCGATACAAACGAGCAATCGACGATGAATAATGCCAATGGTGGTGTTACATTGGATAAACAGAAACCACTGAATGATGGAATGGAAACAAATCAAGAAAAGATTCATGAATCAGATGAACGGCATAGTAATGATGCGAAGACTGATGCCTCAGTAAGCATTTCGAAAGCTGCACTCAGTACACAACCCTGCCCAGTCTGTGGTGATCAGCTTCCGGATCAATTGGCAATGGTCAACAGACATCTGGATGAATGTTTGAACAGGTACTTCTCACTTCAGTCGTTTCATCAAATTCTCATTCGTTCATTGTTTCATGAGATCATTTGAGGATAGAAATTGAAGTTAACAAAATAACTGTATCAATACTTTTAATGATGAGCTATTCGAAATTTCATTTGAAAAGAAACCGGATAATTATAGTTTTTGGTATGTATTAGTGATGTCTTTAGTACAGCGCATATTCATTTATTTATATCGGTTCAGACGAAAAGGGATGAATGATAAGTTTGATTATAGAATATTCGTGGAATGGATGTGTGGATTGCGAAATTATTTCCATAACCCACACATGAGTGTAGCTTGAAATTATCCTCAATCATTTGCAGCTGTTCACGCGAAATTTCAGGCAGGCAATAGCCGAACTACAAAACGAAGTAGGTGGATCAGGGCATATTGCATCAAGAAAAAGACCATCTGAAAAGAATGTAATTCCTTCGGTAAATGGAAGAAGTCCGCATCCAGGCAGTATTAATGCCAAAAAGAAGTATTCCATTCGTGATTATTTTAGCCCGGAAAAGCGATGAAATGCTTATTTTATTGACGATAAGATTGAAGAATATTCTGATGCAAAACAAAAATGTCTTTGTAATACTCAGTGTTTATGATTGTATTTATTGATATTTTGAAGAGATTGCCAAAAAGATTTCCTGCATCACAGTGAATCATCTGATGTCTCTCTACAAACAACAGATAAATTACTTCGTCATAACACCGGTACTTTCGCGTTGATGGTATCGCAGAATTGTTGTTTGGCAACAACGCAGCGTTCGTGTTCTTTTAAAGAAGCGTTTATTGAGCCTTAAACAGGCGTTGCGTCAGCTTCTTGAACTGATCGAGTCATTAAGAATGGTGCCCATTTCATTGCATTCAGAACGATATCACGAAACTCTGGATTCAAAAATGCATAAAGTATTGGGTTAGCTACACAGCACGCCATTGCCATGCTGAAAAGTAGATCATTGTATTGGTGAGTTTGATGAGCATTAATCGGGTACAAATACGAAACCGATAAAAGTGGCTTGTTTTCATTCTCGATGCACGTGTGAACCATTGAAAATATTTGGAGCAGTTCAGAATCGAACACCGAATATTAAAAGCTGTGGAAATTAAACTGAAATGTGATCTAATGAGAAATACGAAAACAAACCAGTGAGAAAACAGATTAACCAGGTATGTGATATCATTGTTGTCCACTTGCATAATTGTGTAGTCAGAGTCGTATTCGTAGATAATCGAAACAATATTGTGTGGTAATGCTGTAAAACCGAATATCACCACCATACTTGCTAATATGATCGTCACTCGCCTGTGCTGATGTGCAACACGTCTCTTTTGTTCGATTAAGTGACACATCCAAAAATACATCGTTTATGTAAAACGCATTTTATCAGTGCTGTGCAACAGCGCGCTATTCGCTACTAGCGCAGCCACTTTTTCATAGCATATTGTTTTAGCGGTATGAAGTAGCGATAATTTGCTCTATTTCCTTTTGTTAGCCTTTTAGCGAGTCATTCTCCTTCAGACTTCCGCTAACTCGCTTCCTTTGGTCCGTAAAGAAACGTTTATCTTTGCCAACATCAACATATTTAACTCAACTTCAGTGCTGGTCGTAGAAAAGTTTTTTTGAAAATGCCAACGAAAAGGTGTTTGTCAATTCAGTCGACGCTGAATCCAACACAATGAGAAACCTAAAAGCGTTAGTCAAGAGGTCAGTGTTAGCTTCCGGAACCCAATGAGCGCGAATTGTCTTTCTAATCTCGTCGTAAACACCACTACTGATTTCAACATTTTAATTCAGCGTTTTATAAATGAGAGTCAAGCTGCGATCTATATGAGTGAGTAAACGCCTTCTCATATTGCAATTTTCACAACTCAAAAAATGCAAGCAAATTAAGACATTCGAACAGAAGACGCTTACTAGTTTGAGTGGCACTTTCTCATAATAACATTCTTACCTGAAATTAGATACATGCCGAACTATTTGTAAACTATTTCGTCTTTTGCATAACTTTATAAGGTATGAAGTTTTATTTTAGAAGAGTTTGTGTGACGACGTTAATCACTACAAATACAATACTTTACCTGGTCATGATGATATTGTGAGGAGTCAGCGCCTGCAGTAGCGGTAAGCATACAGAGCAAGTTAGCTTGTTGTGCGATTGAAGTGAGGCGCGAATGTGCTCTTCGATTCAGAAACGCGAAAACCTTCAAATCATTCATATATTTTCCTCTTTTTGCATCAAACCATTGCAACAATGGCTCAGCATATTAACGTGTTCTCAATGCCTTAATGTAGCAGATAGGTTCCCTCTTCTGATTGCAAGTCGATAGCTCTTATTGTCCATAAAGTAACTCTCTATGCAATCTTCATTTGCCATTCTACCGCCCATTGATGAGATAGACAACATCAATGAACTCTATTTTCAAGAGTTACGACACAATAGCATATTATATATAAAAAAGAGCGCATTTCGTTAAGAATGTAATGATTTACCGAATGATAGCAGAATGTCATGACAGTGAATGGAATGATGAATTGTATTATCAAAATAAAGAATGTATAAAGACGTTTCGACAGCTCATCAGGCCACTCTTCAGTGCAGAATTCACCACATATGCCTGGGTATCGTTTTAGGGACATATGAAATACATATGGTAATGTTACTAACACTGCAAACATCCATATAAACAACGTTATACGAATTGCGTGTGAACGACGAATTGGACGGCCTAAAATTGGCAGTATGAAATAGGTATGTTGATTTATGAGTTGATTCACTGAAAGTGAACATGAATATAAATATGCAAGTGGACGTTACACTTGATTGCAGTGTAAACTGCATGGTGAAGTAATTCAGAAATGATATAGACATCAATTAGTGCATCTATTGGGCAGTCTAACTGGGGATTGTGAATAAATAACGAATACACGAAATAATGAATATCGCAATCGTTTATCACTGCCAAGAGCAGAGGGTATAAAGGCGAAAGTAAGAAGTTAATGCATTAACCTGGTGCAACAACAAGTTGAAAGTATCGATCAACTGCGATCGCACACAGACTAAACGTTCCGATGAACATACCAATCGCTTGAATCAATGCTACAGTACGACATAGAATAGCACCAAAATACCATTGTTTCATGATTAGTGTGATTGGAGTTAAGGGTATACTTAACAGACACAGAATTACATCACTTGCCGCAAGATTCAGGATGAAAATATTCTGAAAGTGAGTTATTTTCAAAACAACTCTAAATTTGACGAGGCACTCTAAATTGTTCGATCAAGTCATGATCTCACCTGAACAGACTGCAGAGTACGATAGCTCATTGTTGCGATAATTACACACAGATTGCCAGTTAAACCAACGACGAAAATGACTGCATATAAACACGAGAATATGGATACAATAGTGGGATGTGTGGACGGGTCTGGAAAGACGTCTGGATATGAAGAGCAGTCGTCTTCATGGTAGATCTGAATTGAGTTTTCATAATAAAGCTCAACAATCTCCTTTTGAATGCTTTTGATTTGCCTTCACTGTACGCACCAACTACTCATTGTTTTTTAAATCAGCTAGGGTTCGATGTATCGTTGGATAATTAACTGAAGATGCATATCTGTTTCATGTCAAACTTTGCAAAAGTCGCATGTCTGTCAGGGCCGATTCAAACACTCAAATCCCATAAACAAATGCTAATTTAGCCTCCTCAGAGTCTTAGTCTCAATCAGTCTAATTCTTATGTAGAGTCCAGATTTATGTCTGCGCTTATGTTAAACGGATGGGGCCAAATTGCATTTAGGTCAGGTGTTTATTTGCACTGCCTTCTGTTTTATGAATTAAACACTATCGATCATAACCCATTCACTCCTCTCCTTCGAAAAAAGAAGATTGAAAGAGCCCCCATCTTACATTTTATCAAATATATCTGACTTTTTTCTGTACGGTTGTAGTTTCCTCTTACAGTACTTAGTGAAGTTACCGAAGCCTGGGAAATCCATATGCTCCTATTAATCTGTTCTATCTTTCATGCACGATTAGACCCATTCTCAAAAACCCTGAAAATTCACGTTCTGAAAGCAGTAAATTTGCTTGAATGCGGCATTGGCGCTGCGAAATTTCACTGATAAAATTTGAGTAGCAGATTTTTTTAAATTGTCATTTAAATTGTCAATGGCAAATTTGAGGTTATTTTGACTCGGACCTACTTCGGAAGTATTATACTCTCGACGCTCAAATATTTTATATTGCTCACCACTGTCCTATTGAATTCCATTGATTGTGTAATCTGTAATTGGATTTGTCGAATTGCTCTTAATTGCATAATGTATTGCACGATATCGATTCCTTCTGCACATATGCGTCCTCTCTAATTTCATTTGAGCACTGAACGAATCGTTGCTGACGAATATCACTGATAGTGAGACATCAGTTGTTGCATTGCATAAATATCGCCTTCAAATCAGTAAAAACACCGAATAACTAATCATTATCGCCACCGATGCAGTAATTAAATGCTTATCAACCACACTGATCACTATTTGCGAGATACTGCATATTGTTTAACGACCATATCACAACACCACATGCGCCGTTATTTCAAGAACGATTTATGCAAGCATAAATCTTCATCAGGCTATCCGAAACTGATTCAAATTCGTTTTGGTATGAAATATGCATATATCCTATAACATCATCGTAATACTTCATTATTATTTGATATCTACTTAATTTTATCTAAGAAGCACAATCGAAACAAATCATAAACGAGCTGCAGCAACCAGAAATTGACAACGTTTAAACGTGACCAATGGACGCACGCTAACAATCTAGACGTCTTTGCCCGACATTCTAAACGTGTATAATTTTTCACTATTATTTCGATGTCAAGTTGGTCAATCATAATGAACGAAATAATGATTAACTGTTAAGAACAGAGAGGTTGCAGTGACACTCTGGAAGATTGGCGATTTTAAATAGAAATGGATGTTGATGAAATGGAAAGTTGAGGCATAGCATAACAGCCGGATGGATTGGTGCAAATCAATGAAAAGAATGAAATATCACTGATATAATTTGATTCACAAACATTGTAATGATTACATTGAGAAGATGGTTAATGGAATATTATGTTACCAGTTCTGGGCAACATCGTTAATCAGTTGCAGAAGGATTTAGTGAAAACAACCTTAGCTTGTTGAATCGAACAAGCGTTTGATCAGAATACACCATAATATCAAATAAGCGAAATTGCAATACTGAATACTGCTTCGAGCACACTTTTTCAGTTCAACCAGCAACCTCTTCTATCGACCACTAAATTGTTAACCGTTTCGTGCTGAAAGATTTTGTCGTGGCTGTGTACTTGAATTCATATAAATTCATATGCAGATGCAAATAAATATGTAGATGTACAGATTATGTTTACATACATTTGAAACTGTGATACTGAAGAGGAATTATCGACGGTACGGCCGAAGAACAACGACATGCGACTGGTAAAGACTAAGTGAAGATTGCTTGGTTTTCCTCAAGAGAATATCTGCGATGTTTACGTCCTATTGCGTATTCAAGTTAGCAATTCTACACATATGCATAATAATATCTGCGCCGTACAACATTGAGCATGAAAGCATTTTAGTGACACGAAAAAGGAACATCTTCAGTTGACTCAACTGAACATTGACAGATGGAACAGAAAATGAGTTCAAAATAATGGAGGAGTGTTTTTAATGATATTGAATATAAAATCGAAATGGAATGGAATTAAACTTGATTGGGGCACAAATCAAATTTAATTGATTCGACCGATTTTAGTGCGAACAAAAACCGTGCTTTTCAAACAAGTATAATCGAAGTACATTAGTGAGATTAAATGAAACAGATAAATGGACGAATATGGCTGAGGATATATAGTTTGGTAGTGTGCAATTGAGGTAGAGCTGGTTAATGCAATAATAAAACACTTCAAGTAAGCACTCTTCATCGCGCATCTCCTATCATCCTTCTATGCTACTTCCATAAATTATGTTATACCCAATTATATATCCACGAATTGCTTCTTCTCTACCACTTCCACAAAAATGTTCAACCTAAACTTATTTAAGCCTCGAAGTCTAACGCTAACCCTAAATGAATTCCTTCAAAGAATAACGTTATTACATCTCTATCAAAATCATCCGAAAATTCCCTCAAACAATTCAATAAATAAACATTTCATGAATCGTGCAATGTTTCATCAACAACAAACGTTCAACATGCACAAACATCCAATAATAACCACCAAATTTGCCATCATCGGCTAGTTATGATGGTAATAACCTATAACATATACGTCTAAAAAACGAACGATCATGTGTTGAAATCTAATCAACACTTTTACGGATACATAAAAGTGTTCTACGCTTCTTTCACATATAAGTGAATTGATTTCGTAATTGAATAAAATTGATGAGCTGTGCATATTGGTGTACGTTTTATTTGTACAATTCTCTATAATATTTCCATCATTTTGGATGCACTTCTTCTATGTTCAAGTGCTGCTCGTTAGTAAAAATATGCACTCGAAATTGCTCATTCAATCGACGCTCTTAGTTTGGTTTTTTCATCACAAATTAGAACCGTTCGATGTTTTCATAAAAATTAGAACCGTCGCTCCTCTTTACAGCAGTAATAATCAGCAAAAAACAAATAATATTATATGAGTAGATAAAAAGATAAAGGCCCAGTGTCATAACTTGGCTCAGGCTCGAAAAAATCAGTATTGTCTGATACTCCACTTGGTTTCAGGTAAAAATCTCTCTCCCTCCCAAGCGGGACTCAAACGCTGGACGTATCAATTGCGCTCAAGAATTAATTACAAAAACTCAACACAACCGTTCGGTAGAAGCTTAATGGTCTCAGCGATAGGACAGAGGTAAAGCATTGGTGGTACATCAAGGGTTCGAGTATCGCTCGCGAAAGAAAGTTTTGCTCGAAACCGAATGATATATCTATATCACAAATAATATCACACATGTGAATATGCTGTAAATTAAAGTTTCATTTTCGTTTACTCAACGAAAAATGTTTCAGCTATCCCCCTACGCTTGGTGTCGAGTATCATTTCAAATAGTGCAAATGATAAATGAAAAGTGATAAAAAGAGGTTATCAATTAGTCATCAAAATGAATGAACGTCACATAAATGGTAATTTAATGACGAGATGAACAATGCCTTCAAGACAACATCAGAAAACTGCTGTTTAGATTTCATCTTACTGAATAGATGATTAGATAAAGATGCTATTGAATGAGAATGCGTGTAAATCATACGACAATTGCGTAGCATTGCAACGACAGAATATGTATTCTGAAGTTGCAGACATATTAGTGTTGTGAGGGAGTGAAAAAAGATGGACAAGTGAAAAGTCGGAGAACGAAATTTGAATTCGTTTGCAGCCTGAAGTTTGCACTTAGGGACCCCAAAAATGTAACTGGTCAGGGACAAGGACTCCAGTCAAAAGCCAGGGGCGACCTCCCCTCCCCCCACCCCTCCTGTCAAAAAGTCGCTCCCCGTCAAACTCTACTTCAGACAGCTTATGCTGAAGCGAAAACATATTGAAATGCTTGCATTTTGTTGTTAAGTAGTTAAATAATCATACCTCGCCTCATGTTATTTCGATTTGTGTCAGTTTCGAGGACACATCTTTTTTTTCAAATAGTTTTTTCCAGGTGCATTAACTCATATAAACTGCCAGTGATATCACTATGAAATAAAGAAGATTTGTTCTTCTTCTAAGACGACGACATATTTGTTGATTTTCGAGTTTCAAAATCTGCAAGCTCTCATTCTCTAGAAATGTGCCTGCCGATCTTGAAGCAAACCACCTTGCTTCAGAAAGCTCAATCTGAAAGATCGCTATACCAAACTGCTTTTTGCCTGAGCCGACTGATGAACAGTTTCATCTGATTTTACCGACTGAACTTAAGTCGTTTACTACCACTTGCAACTAGACTACCCGCATGGCTATCTATTTATCACATGACCACCATTTAATCATAGCAACAATCAAGATCAACACAGTTGTACGACTGCTAGGAATCTGACTCTGCTGAATGTTGTTGGCAGTTCGTTTATATTAAAAGCGACAGTCAGGCAACTGCTAAGCTGCTGAATTGGATTGCGGGCGGTGAATTGGATTGGCAACTGAATTAACAGTCACCTCTTCTGTTAACTGATTATTGCCGAACTTAGCAGTAGCAGTTACAAGCCATCATATCATTGTCATATTCATTTTTATTGACGTCAACGTACCGGATGAGCTAGTTGCAGTTTATTTGAGAAATGCAAAACGAGTTCGATAATTATTGAATGAGCCAAAACGACGCATTTGATAATTATGAATAAACGGTTGCTACGGCGAGACGATAGTCATTCGTGTTTGCATATCTCAGTTCATCTTCACCACATTTACACCAGTTTAATGTTGAGTAAAAAATAAAAACAAACAACAATTTTACTCAATTTTCATAACAACGCATATATATCATTACAATAACTTTTTTTCACGCCTCTAAACTGATCTTCGTATTTTGACGCATTTGTGATGCAATACGATCCAAATCTTTCCTGCCCTGAAATCAACAAAAACGTCACCGATTTCATACTCGAACCAACAAGCTGCACACGCAAATCAATCAGATCAACGTGTCACCACCCTCATCACACCCATTCAGTTACGACGGACGGTTAGAACGAACAATTCCACGAATACTTCTTTATTATTCATATGATATTTTTGACCTATTCGAACCGATACATAAGGTCTTATAAACCATACACGACAACAACAAAACCTGCTCCAGTAACATAAAAACAAATGGAATAAATACCTGTTTCGTGAGTATGCGCCCATTGCCATCAGGATGCTTCTCAACCCACTTGATGGCCTCGAGGGTTTGCAGGGCCTTCCTGATCACAGAGCCTGATGCTTGTGCAAAGTGATTTGGCGCAACACCATGACGCTTATTGCCTCCGTAAACACGCCTCAATGCGCCGACACCTGTAAATGAATATTTATTCGTCATCTGATCTCATCTTGAAGCTTTGTTTCGGCTTGTTCCCAAAACAAATTTGTAAACCAAAGTAGTAAACGACTTAAAGCAAGCGCACACGCTGAAAATGGACACAATGCAACAGAATGACACAAACGCAACAATTTTAATTCAGTACGTATTGTATAATACCCTTGTATAATCACAATTACAGATGCAGAGAATAGGCGGAATGCACCAATGAATGTGAGAATCAGCTTGATAGAAAAACTTGTACTTCATAATAACTCCAACATGAATTAACCTGTGGGTGAGCGGATGTAAAGACGTCTAGCTACGCTGGCAGTCCTCAAGTAATACCAATCGGTGTCAACAGGAGCCAATTCCTTGTTAATACCTAATTTGACGAGATCGGACCACTCGGGCACTTTGACCTACAAAGAAATCACTTAGTCGCAAACAATCAGGGAACGAGGATCATCTTCTAACTGGATCATTCAGAACATAATTCATCAACGGTACTACGCCCATACAGGTAAAGCATCACAACCTTTCCACTCTTTTTCAAGAACCCAGCAATTTGACGAACGATTTCGTGCTGATCCACATCCTTCACACTTGTTGGTTTGACCATGATAATATGATTAAATGATAGCCACTGCTTGCGGCCAAACTGCCTGTAAACCTAACGAAAATACGATAAACAATGCTAAAGGCGTAATCATGCCAAATCGAAGACATGAATCAAATTCGCAGCAAAAACTGAACGCACGTAAACTGAGATGTTCCAAATTAAGATATTCCAAATACTGACTTATAAAGTTACTATCGGAAGAGGAATAATTACAGATGACTCATCCACGTTACATAGGTATTCTCAGTTTTCGATTTTGATACGAAACAAGCATTATTGTGACCTCTCCACCGTGTAAGAGAGGGAACTGTGGTCAGGTGGTTTGTTAGGAACGGTCTACCATATGACCGAGAGAGGCACGGAACGCAAGAATGTGGTGGGAACCACTGATCTCTATGATTACTTGTTCATGAAAAATAAGCATAAAACAGGCATTAATTCAAAATCTGATTTCAACAGTAAGGATCTTTACGAAACACTCAGCAAGAACAAAAATACAACAGTAATGATCATTAGAAAAACAGACAAAAAGCTTGTCACATTCAAATTAATCATTCAAATGAAACTAAAAAATAAACTCAGCGCAATTTTCAATTTCATTCCACTCAAATTTTTGTCCGACACTTCGCGAATTCAGATCGATCAGAAAAATTTTTGGCATAGAACGAAGAGAAAAGTGAACGAAAATTTTAAACGAAACTGCGCATCGACTCAACATTGTGGCTGTTGCAACGTTATAATGGTTATTTGTGGAGAGATTACGAAACCTTTTACAACCTCATTTCATAGATTCAAAGGCACTTGCCAACCATATAGCCACATTTGAGCAGTGATCTTGTGCTACAATTGCTCTCTTACCGTAGTTGATTGGACTGCATAACAACAAAAGTTTTGGTCGGCAGCACTAATAAGTTGATAACTAAAGCTGAGAACTTATGTAACATAACGGTTGGTAAGTCTCGTAATTAGCCTTGATAAGCCTGACAATCCTAGTGGATAAATCTCATAACAGTCAGCAGGACTGGACGGTATATCAGCTGAATAAACTGGCAGAATATGGGTATAAAAATTGATGGAAAAGCATTAAACAATCTCAGATTTGCTGATGACTTGTTCTAGTTACAGACAATTGCAACCAGATAAGGACGATGCTAAAACATCTCATCCGGGAAGGTAGCAAAACTGGATTTGAAGATCAACGTCACCAAAACGAAAATCACAACAAACCGTGTAACAAAACCACCGTTCATTCTCTTCTTCATTGCTTTCTGTCTCTTTTCTTTTCCTTTAATCAAATGGATAAATTCCCTTCAGAAAATCATGAAAAATGACACAAAATCGACAAAACTGTTAATGTCGTTTGCGACATTTCTTGCTTCATGAACAGTCGTCATCAATAATAAAACGTCGTGTGTGGTTGTCAATTTTGAACACTTTGTTGACAAGTGGCATTTGGTGAGCAGCTATGAGCGGCCGTGAATGGACGCCTGTTTACATGAATGCGTGATTGGATTGACCACAAAACATTGATATGTCTGAAACATTGCTTCTAGAAGAAATTATTGGTATTTATTGGCGTTGTAGAATTCTTAGCACGCTGACCAGCATCCTTCAGTAATATTGCGAAAGAGAATAGGAAGGAAGTAATCGGTGAACAGTTGCACCGGGCACATGTCGTACCTTTAAGCTATTGGTAGGTCGTGCGTGATTAAGGGTCTATCTTGTTCAAATGTGGGATTCGATGTGTCTTGTCGTCATCCCTGGGGGAAAAATTAGTTCTTGATATTATATGCTCTTTACTTAAATTTTGTATCACTTTGTTTTCTTAAATTGTCCGTTAAATCAATTATTAAGAAAAAAAAACGTTCCGGTCAAAAATCTGGTGCTATTCTCAGCGAATCGCTTCTAAGTAGTTGTTCCGAACATCCACGACGTTTCCAGGGTCTCTGACTGACTCCATCTCCACTTTCGAGAGTCCCGAGCCTACTCCTGATTTATTCCCGGTATTTTATCCCGAAAGTTCACTCCTCCACAATTCCCATTCACTAGAAATGCCTATACAGAATGCTTCAAAATGATGCAACTTATTTTAAATGCGAATATCTCGAAGTGTGAAATTGACACCCGAGGATCAATTACACTTACGTGATCTTGTGCGCATCACACCACTCCTCGTTAAGGCCTTTCATATGCAATCTCTGAATTTTGCTGACCATGTGAGTGAGGTATACGCTACCCAATGCTTCCTACAAGTGAAGATGAAGAGCACAAACAAAACCTCTTAATACCAACGGGATAGTGTGAGAAAAACACAAATGGGCGGACGGACCAAAATTTTGGTAGCGTTCCAGAGACAGAACATCTGATAGCTATTTAGCGCGTTAAGACCCTGAAGGAATCACCCATTTTTAATGTCATCTACTTGGATTTTGGCTCAGGTTAATGGTGACTTAAGTAGATGAGATCGAATTGCAAGCATGGTTAAGTGGGCATTCACTTTGGTTTATGCTCACGCTCAAAGTAAGAGTGAGCTGAATTGATGGGGTGATTTTTACAGTTTTTCGATGTGTTCTTCATGCAACCCATCGGAAATACATGCCAGCCAACCTTGTTCAAGTTGTTTCGTAAGCCAAGCAAACGCAGAAAAAGTATTTTGTGCTGAGGTCTAGGTGAGAGGTTCACGGTGGTGTTGTTATGGTTTTTGCGTTAGCTCGTAGTTGTCATGAAATATTTATTGTTTTTTTTACGACTGGTGTTGTGGACTTTCGAGGAAACTTGAATATATTTAACGCTTCAGCTTTATTTTCATCACTGAAGTCATCATGTTGTGATGTAAAACGCTGCAAAATTGTACCATGAGATGTTATTTGGTTGGGCAGTAGTTGAAAGGTTGGGTCAAGTTCGTAAGACAGTGTCAAACGGAAAGAGAGTGAGACTAGGTTTCAGTTGCGGCACTTGTAATTAGGTCTTGATCAGTCTGTTCTCGATGCTTTGACCGACTTATTACTACGACGAATGGCTGAGACGGTGGAAAAACTTGTCACTGAATGTTTAACGACATAATTTCTTATGGTGCAAGGTTGTTTATGATTGTTTCAAATGACACTGATGAGACATCAAACTTTGCACTAATTTTAAGTTCAGTTTATGCAGTCAGATTCGATGATGACTATAAGAGATGCTGTCTCGAAGGCTTTGAATACGTGATTTATGTGCGTTTGTTCATTAGAAAATTCTGTGAATTATCTGACGTATTATTTTCAGTATTTTTTTATTTTGTTTGTAAAACAGTTTTGGAAGAATCACCAAGCGGAACTGATCAAAGAAAATGGACAAAGTGTCTAGGTCAACTCGATCGGAACCACTGCAACGCAATAATGAGTCGTTTGTTGTTGGTCATTTTCCTCGTGAAGAAGAAAAGACTCCTCTTTTTCTGATCAAATTGTGGAATATTGTTGAGGATTCGGCCTATCAAAACATCCGCTGGGATGAAGTAACGTTCAGTTATTGTTTTTGTTTTTCTTTTCATTATTTACACTTTTAATATTTTTTTCCTAAAGTTTTTTGAAAGTTTTCGCGACCTTTGAAAATATGTGCGAGTTCGTTGGGTTATTGCAGTGGACCTTTTTGTATGGATTCGACGAGTTCTTACCGATACTCATTGAACAGTAAAGTTCGTACTTATCTTTTGTTGTGATTTTTTCAGAGTGGTTATAGTTTCCATATCTTCAATCCGTCTGCATTTTGTCGTGATGTTTTGCCGCAGTATTTCAAACACAACAACCTTAATAGTCTAATAAGACAACTTAATATGTGTAAGACTCTATTCATTCATAAAGTGTACCTGTCTATTTTGTGATATCTTGCAACAAACATTTTTTGAAAATCTTCTGATATCGGTTATGAAACTAGCAATTTTCACATGATTTTCATAACTTTTTAATGATCAGACTGTAGTGCTCACATGTATCGTATGCAGATGGTTTCCGGAAGATGACTCCTATCGAACGTTCTGGTTTGGCACGTTCCGAAAGTGATCAAGATCATTTGGAATTTTCGCATCCGTATTTCGTACGTGATCATCCAGAGTTGCTTGTGAATATTAAGCGTAAATCCACCTCACACAGACCAGCTGATCCAACGGCCGTATCTCTAGCAACAAAAGATCTGTCATTGGTACTCGATGAAATCAGACAGCTTCGAGAGAAACAACGTGCTATGGAAACGAAAATGACACACCTTGTTAAGTGAGTTGCATACATCCACGTTTTATTTGTTATGATGCTTTCACAGTTTCTTCTGACTATGATTTCTCGATTAATTCCGTATATTCCTTTACATCCATTCATAAATTGAATGAATTTCTTTTTCATTTCAACAAGTTCGTAATGCGGCGTTCTGTTGTGATAAACACTGCAATCGACAAGTGCTTTCCCGTTTTCAGAGAGAATGAATCCGTTTGGCAACAGCTCTCTCATATGAGGACAATGCATTTAAAACAGCAACAAGTGGTCACTAAACTTGTACAGTTCTTGGTAGCATTAGCGCAACCAACAACACAGAAACGTCTTGGCAAACGGAGTTTACTTGCAATTGATGAGGTAGCTTCATTTCGGTTTTTTTAGTACGACTATTTGACCCTCCGAACTTTTTTGAAGATCATTTGCTGTTCATTCCTTTCTATGATTTGAATATGTTATGATTTGGAATGTACCAATCAGCTGGGTGATCACTTACATCTTTATTTATTAATCAGTAATGGCGAGTATAGAGGTGTTGGGCATCTGTATCTTTATTTTATTCATTCGATTTGAAGGTTGGTGGTAAACGAGCGCGTTTGGGTAAAGGTCAGTCTCCACCAGCTACAACACAACCAACAAATTTGGCTGAAGTATTGGATCGGTTACAACGTGATCTAACTGAAGGTAGTATGAGTGGTGCAATTCCAAATCTGTTCTCACCGCGACCCAATCAAGGACCCATCATCGCTGATATTACTGACGAGCCAGATGCGAGTCTTCTTGCACCAATGGTCTCAGCTGCTGCATCTACACTTGATCGAAATATGCTAAGTGCACAAGGTCTCGCCGTCTGTATTATTATCATTCATGTGTTCGCTTCATCAGCTTTAATTTGCATGTCTGATCGATTTGATATGAGTTGTTGTGGAAGATTATCATCAAGTTCATTAGTTTCATTCGAAAGTGTTTCGGTAGTCTAAAAGAGTAATCATACTATTTAATTATGCAACCACATTCAATACCACTGAAAAAATGCGTTTAAAATGATGATATTCAATTTCAGAACAGTCAGCGCCATCGCCATCATCAGTCAATCGAATCTTACCAGCTCAAACAGTGATAGTATCGCCTCCGCAAAAAACTGAACCAACCATTCAACAATCTCAAAATTTCGCTTTTAGTCCAACATTAACGCTATCACCGTCATTTGACAGACAACTCTCTGCTGAATTGGCTGAATATTTGAGTTCGCAAGAGCAAGGTATTGATAGTTGTCGCGATGTGATTGGTGGTCATTGGGATTTGAATTTGGATAATTGTTTGGAGGATGAGTCAAGACAACCACAGCAACAACAACAACAACTAATGCTACGGGGTACTGTTGATCCCAGTGTTGCAATGCCGGATGAACTTGGTACTCCTGATCTTCTTACACCCAATTCGAGTCCGCAGAGGAAAGTGGAACCAGATCCCTAGAATGCTCATTTATTGTGTCTGTTTTCATTGAAGCTATTCGAAGCATCGTTACGATCTTCAAATTAGTTCAGGATGTTTTAGTCCTTGCTCATCATGTTGTTATAAGTTGTTTGATTTAATCAATCATATCCCCCAATAATTTTTGTGATCCTAAAGGTGTGCTTTTTAAATGCACATCCCTTTCATGAGAGTTCGGTTGATTTTTCCGGTTTTCAATTGGCCTCTGGATGCACCCTCTTAAAATGAGTGAAATACCGGTGTTTCATTTTCTCGAATTATTCATAAACTGTAAGATTTGATGTGTTTTCGAGTTTAATGATACTTCTCAAGACCGACCGTCTCATGTTTTTAGTGTGAATTGATACCGGTTTGTCTACATTTAACCATAAAACTAATATCTGGATCTCCTAACTGTTCTATAATAAATTAAGGTGAGATTGTGTAATTTCCAAAGCGAACACTGTAAACAAGTAATGTAACAAATTTTGTTGGTGACCTTAAATTGTAAACTATCACTTTATGTAAACATTAATATTCATTCTATTTGTTATGTTGTGATTGATGATATTATAAAGTTTCAAATCGCATCGATGCAAATTTACGAGATTTCGCATGATAATGAGTAGTATCCTCTCACATACTTCGATAGTTGAATTCAAGAGAATGATCTGGATGGCGTGGTGAAGTTGTCATGTTTGGAAGTGTGACCAGTTTACATGAGAGATTTAGTGCATATGTTTTTTCATTTGGCTTCGGTTGGAGTTCCACCGAATCGACTGTTTAGGATTCGGAAATTCCGTATTCCGACCAAATTTTGAAATCATTGGCAGAAATCTGGCCGGGTCCATGCTTTGGAGCTTCCAATCGAATTTCATCGGGCTTTACCAATCGAACTTAGAGTGGTTACCATCATTAGTATGTAGGGGTTAGTGTTCAGGATTTAGAGCAATTCCACCGCCGGGGCATGGATCATCACGACAAGTCGTGGAAGCCCAAGTCCAGTCTCAGAATTGCAGAGCCCAAACAGCGTCAAAATTTTCAAACTTGTACACATCACTGGTCATAAGTCTGTAATACCTATGATGAAGAAATAGCAAAACTAATGTACCAATATAACAATAATTGCAACTGTCTAAAACAGCACAATGAGCACTGGTTTGCCTTTTCAATTCACATTCTACCGCACATCAATTACACTGACTACTCCAAGGCGTAGGTCACAATGATACGGTTGTCAGATCTGTTGTCTCCTTATGTCTGAGCGCTTTATCGCGGTAACCCGAGCCATATAGCAGTCTGCACTACTATTATTGAAAAATGCTTCGAAATTGTCCAACAATCGTATTTCACAAATTATAAAAATACTATGGAAGGCCTCGTGGGGCTTTAAAGTTTTCCACCGCCATGAAGGATTCCATTTGAGGAATCT